CGCAGGTGGTCCCCGTACCTCAGAGAAACGGGCCCTCCCCAGCATCCACCTCCACAGGAAATCGATGAGACATAGAATGAACATTCTAATTTTCTTTCCAAGGGGCAGAGAGGCTAGTTTCCGTCAGAAAATTCTCCGGTCAAGCTCGAGTGGTCTTAGTTTTAAAACAAGGACTAGCAAGACAGGAGAAGGGGTAGAGGGGGGAGGAGTGTGTGGGCTGTGCCTGGGTCTGCGTCCACCCAGAATTAGGTTTCAAAGTGGGGATGACTGTCCCTGGGAACATCTCGATCACCGAAGTGGCAAAATGGAAAAAGAAGAGAAGAGAGAGGCAACTGCAGGGGAGAGGGCGGGACCCCCTGGGGCGGCCATTTCCGCCCTGCGGAGGCCGAAAGCTGGGCCAGCACCTGGGCTGGAGAGGCCTGCGGGTGAGGAGCCCAGCGCTGCCCCGCGGCCCACCAGGAGGCAGACACGCGTCCTGATGGGCCCCAGCTCCCATCGGGGCCCAGGGGGATGCTCGGTGTCTGGAGGGCTGTTAGGGAGTCAGAGCAACAGGAAAGGGGCCTGCGCCCCCAGCCAGGGGCCGCTGGGGGCAGGTGAGTTGGTAAGGAGCCACAGGGCAGAGGCGGCACACGGTCACTCCCAGGGTGAGGGGCAGAGCGTCAGACGGAGAGCCCACCCTGCAGGCTCGTACCTGGTCTCAGCCCCGGAGGAACCGTGGCGTTCCCAGGGCACTGGTCCAGCGGGCAGCTGAGCCCGGCTGGAGAAAGGTGGGCGTGAAGGTCCTTACTTGTGTTGCAGGCTTGGTGGACAAGACAGGCCCCAGGGTCTAGCTGGCAGCTGTGACACTGGCTAAGAGGAGTCCTGTCAGGGTCTGTGGGTGCCTCACAGTGGGGAAGGTTGCCTGTGGCCACCTGCACCCTCCGGGAGCCCGAGACGGCCTACTTGCAAAGCGGGTGGGTGAGGAGGAGCTGTGCTGGGCTGCCCAGAGTTGCCCTGAGTCCTAGGGGCGCTGGGGGCAATCAGAATCGGGGCGTCTGCTGCCCCCAGCATCTCCTGCCCTCCTTCCCAGATGCTGCCCTCCCCTCCACGGTGCTCTGTCCTTCCACTTGGTGGCCCAGACCCTCCTTGTGGCACTAGGAGCAAAGGTTCAGAGACTCAGCTCAGGTCCCTGAGGGTCGGGCCGCTCTCCAAGTCGGCTTCCACGTCTGATATGTGGGGGCACGAATTCCTGCCACCTGGTGGGGCTGTCATGAGGGGTACCCATGGTACTGCTTCCCCAGCCTTCCCTGGTGGTGGGCATCTCCTGGGGTGCTTGTTAGGTACCCAGAGGTGTGTCCCCCACCCCGGAGCTGCTGGGCCCTAATAGCTGCAGAGGGCCTGGGAGTGCTTTAGACCTTACCCCGAATGGCCCCCCAGGACTTTCTTTGTTGCAACTACAGCCCTCGTCATGCTGCAGAGCTCTCCTGGGAGTCAGTCTGCTCAGTTCAAGGTGAAGATTTTAACTGGGGCTATTTATAATTCCCGCTGCAGAGCAGTATCGGTTTCAAAGCAGTCTCGCCAGATGTCGACTTGGAAGTTGAGAGGGAGACAAAGAGTTCTTATAAATTAATGTTGCCAGTGATTAACATTGGATATTTTTAACACACATTCATCTCAGAGCAAAAAACCCTCTGACTGATGGCGGACTTGTGTGAGGGGCTGGACTGGGTGTGGCTGCGGACAACGCCCACAGAAGGAAGCTGGTGGACCCTGAGCTGGAGGCTCCGAGGACCTGCTGCCCTCCCCCCCCTCACGCAGCCTTTCTCCTCGTACCTGTGCTCCTGTTCCCGGTGGTCCAGGCTAGAGAGACCGCCGGTTACTTTGATCAGGGCCTGGGAGCCGGAGACTTCTCTCCACCTGGGCTCTGCCAGCAAGGAAAGTGGCCGATACTGGAGACCGCCCTGGGGGAGGCGGGGAGGGGTGCAGACCTGCCTCACTCCACCGGCACAGTGTAAAAACAAAGGGTTCCCCTTCTGTAAAAGTTGCTGCATTTCCCCCCAAGCTGCCTTGCCTGTATCGTTTGGACAGTGCACAGCCCTGGCGTCCCCGGGTCGGGTTCCCACAGTGCACTGACTGGTTGTGTGGCAGCCAGGTGTTGGTGGTCTGGACATACCTGAACCCACCGCTGACGAGGCCTCCAGCACACCTGCCTCCCACGGCAGCTGGTGGCTGGTCTGCAGCTGCCCGACAGACGATTTGTCTGGTCTGCATGGTGTCGGCATGCGTCGTGCTTACAGAACTTCAGGAAGTTCTGCCGACCACATGGCAACGCTCTCTTGATCCTCACGGGTCCCGCTCAGTATCACTGTCTCCGCAGAAGAGGAGACCGAGGCACTGAGAAGGAAAGGGACTTGCTCAAGGCCACACCACCATGCGGCAGACCCAGGAGTTGAGCTCAGGACAGTCACACCTGCCTGTTCCAGCAGGGGTCTGTCTCTGGGGATCACCTCGATAGAGCTTATCATGGCAGGGTCACAGATCCAGTCTGTCCCCACCCGACCGTGGGCTCCCTAGGGGTGGGTGACATCAGCCTCACTTCTCTGGGTCCAGTGCGAACCCACAGCAGATGCTGAAGAAACTGAGTTGAACGGGCTTTGCTGCTGCTCACGTCTGAGTGGGGGGTTGTCCTGGGCCATGATTATGGGCTCAGTCCTCAGGCACAAGGCATCTAGACTGAAAGGAGCCGTTCCCAGCTGGCGCTGGGTAACCAGCATGAGATCTTATCTTGCGTCCTGAGAGCCTTTGCAGGTCCTGGCCTCCCACCTCCGCCCCCGCGAGCAGTCTGACCACACTGCAATCTGGGCGCTGATCCTGATAACCTGCCCTCGAATGTGGTCAGAACCAGGCCCGATCTGGTAGTAAACACAGCACCCAGTGCCAACACATCTTAGTTTCTTGGCTTTGAGGTCACCTTGTGGGGGGAGAGGTGGCTGAGCCTCACTCCCAGGGCTTGTTGTCCGGGGTGTTTGCGCGGGATCAGCCTAGGCCGCTGTGACACGGAGCAGAGCTCCCACCTGATGTTGCTGACCCCAGAGGGTCCCAGCCCCAGATGGCCCATCGCTGTCCCGAGGGCTTTCCCAGGGCTGTCCAGAGGCTGGGAGGCGTGAGCTAGAAGCAGAGCTGCCCCCAGACTTGACATTGTAAACTCGTGAAATCCCCGTCATGTGCCTGGTCCTGGGGGTAGTGTCAGGACAGCAGCCTTGTGACCGTTTGAACTCGTCCTCATTACGGCGAGCCCTTCAGCTTCTCTGAGCCTCTATCTCCTCCTCTTCAGGACATAAAACACACGCTTCAAGAGCAGTGGAAACACCATTCACCCATTCATCGGCTCAGCCAAACATTAATTGAGCAGCTACTCTGTCCTGTTTGGTGCCCGTGTGTGGGAGGAAACACCGCTCAGACACAGGACCGCTGGGCCAGGGCAGCGTCCTCAGGGAAGAAAACAGGAAACAAGCTGAGCCATGTATCGTGTTTTATTCTGGCTGCTTCCCTGGCTTTTGCAAAGGGGAGGTGTCATGAGGGCCACAGGACATGCTCCCGGCCGCGTCTAGGCTTGAAGAGCAGCAGTGTCCTGTCCTTCCAGGAAGGGAGGTGGGGGTGGGGGGTGCCATGGCAGGGATCAGGTCCAGCTGTCTCCCTAACTCCTGTCATAAAACACTCAGTTCCCTTGTGGACGGGCGCCCTGAGGCTCCTTCCAGTCAAGTACTGGAAACTTCTGGGTCTATCCCTCTCCTTGGCACCCCCGTGTCCGGGGACACCCCCACATGCCCACCTCTCCGGCTGCCCAGCCTGCCCTCTCTGCTCCAGGTCCACACTTCCCTCTTCCATTGCCACCAGGTAGACGTCTGTCCTGCAGGGTGTCAGCGGCTGACACTCTGGTCCCCCCCACCCGTGCTCCCAAAGCCCCTGCTTTATCCTGACTTGATCCTGATTTTCCTTTTTAAAATCCTCACCTGAGGATATTTTTCCATTTTTGTTCAGAGAGAGAGAGGGAGAGACATCGATGTGATAGAACCATCTCAACTGGCTGCCTCCTGCACGACCCCGGCCAGGGCCGGGACGAACCACAACCAAGGTACGTGCCCTTGGCCAGAACTGAACCCGTGACTCATTGGTCAACAGGGCTGACACTCTCACCGCTGAGCCAAACTGGCCAGGGCATCCTGATTTTCTGATTGACAGCCTCCCCTCACCCTGGGAGGTGAAGTCTTTGTTTTCCCTCTTACTGAGCTCCCAGGCTGCAGGCCTCCCCGGCCCGGACCCCAGCACCCGCTTCTCATCACAGCCCCCGCACCTGAGCTTCCCCAAAGCTAGACCCCTGCGTGGGACTCAGATGGCAAGTCTTGGCTTCACCTGTCCTTCCTCCTTCCCCTTCGTGTGGCACATGTCTGCCTCCCCTGGTCACCCCTGGGTCCTCCCGACTGCCCCTGGGATGCGGCACCTGCCCCTCACCTTCCCAAGGCCCTCCTCACAGCCCTGGGGTGCAGGCGTCTCGGATTTGCCGTCTGTCTTAGACCGGGTGACAGGTTAAACTCTCTGCCTCAGAATCCACTTTGGGAACAGACTGAGTATCCCCTGGGAAGCTGGGCTGCCACGGCTCGGGGAGTCAGTCCTGGGGGAAGGCACCGCGGGCAGGAGGGGGTCCTTTGAAAACAGGCCTCTTTACAGACCAGGACCTGGAACACAAGACAGGTTTCTGCAGGTGGCCCAGCTGTGTTAGCTTAAGAAGTCTTGTTTGGAAGGGAAATCGGAGCAGGGAGGCCTTTGAAGTCCCTGAGCCGTGGAGCTGGGGCCTTATCAGAGTGGGTGTTGGGGGCCTGGGTGCTATCTTAATGTGTTTGTGGAGGGGCTGAAGTCAGAGGCTATCTCTGCAGCCTGGGCTCCGGCCAGAGGGAACTCGCACCCTCTATAAAGGCTGGGCCCCAGGCACCTGCTGCAGCAGTGGCCGTCCGGCAGCCAAGATGAGGAGCCTCGTGGTGTTTCTTGCCGTCCTCGCTCTGTCCCAGGGCAGTGGGATCACCAGGTGGGTGTCAGGCCCCAGAGGAGGGGAAGGGCATCTCATGGTCTTCCTGCCATCGGTTCCCCTGGGGTGTCTTGGAGGAAATGCGCAGGTTCCCAGGACCATCACTCCCTGTCAGTGTTGCTAGTGAATTTGGGACCTTTTCCTCTAAGTGTGCCACTCAGGGTGTGGGGGCAGCGGGGATGTTCGGGGTGTGACTTCTCGACTTGATCCGCGCTGACTCAGCTTCGCCGTGAACTTAGCTCTCTGTGCCCAGCCCCTCGTCTGCTGTCAGAGGAGGTGGCAGGCGTCTCTCCTGGGATCACGGTGAGCAGCAACGCGTTCATCGTGAAGGCTTTGAACGGTGCCTGGCGCTTTGTAGAGCTATGTGTGCATTTGTCAAACAGTGGAGTTCTCTGATGTAACGGTCCTTCGTGGATCAAGTTCCCAGGTTCTCCTTCCAAAACAATACCCGATATTTTTTTGTTGTGTTGTTCAAGTAGAGTGGGAGGGAGAGAGAGGACCAGAGAGAGAGAGAGAAACATCGATGTGAAAGGACCACATCGAGTGGCTGCCACCCGCACGACTGACCAGAGCCGGGGACAAACTGCAACCGAGGTACATGCCCTTAGCGGGAACCGAACCCGGGTCTCTCAGAACCGCAGGCCGATGCTTTAACCGCTGAGCCAAACTGGCCAGGGCAATACCCAATATTTTTTGAGCTGCTTGCTACCAGGTGCCAGACTTAGCTAGGTCTTACCTAGACTCTCATGAATTCTCATAGGTTAGGTAGACATGATTATTTGCATTTTACCAACGAAGAAGCTGTTGTTCAAGGGGGGGTCACTGAGCTCCCCAGACCACGCGGTTAGTAATGGAGGAGCCAGGACTTCCCCCCATGTGGACTTGAACTGTTGACCACACTGTCTCTGGTTTCCAGGTTCAGGTCCCTTTGAGGGAGGCTCTCTGGGGCCTTGTGCTGAGATAGGACACTCAGCAGGCAGCAGCGTCTACTGCGGGCCATCCGGAGTTGATTAGGAACCAGAGCCGAGCGAGCGGGAAGCTCTGGGGGCCGGGGAGGGGACACAGGAAAGGGCAGTGGAGGGCTTGGTGCCAGGCGCTGCCCAGACACCTTCCTTTAGGGCTCACATCCTTTTCTATCATCAGAGACAAAGGCTGAGACACCTCGTGAACCTTTCACTTGTAAGTCAGGGCCTAGCTGAAGTCACACATGAGGGCGGGTGGGGGGTGGGAGGTGATCCCATGATTCACCTGCAAGGCTGTTCCGTGTGGGATCCACTGGGCACGTGACAACCGCGAAAACCACTTTCTTTCCGGGTCCAAAACTGCTGCTGTTTTATGGTCTCAAAGCACTTGCCTGCCTGCAGTGCCCAGTCCCCCACGCCAGCCCCACAGGAGACCACCACCCCTTGAGGTCCACCAGGCTCCATCCTTCACCCACCAGGAGAGGAGGCCGGGCCCCGAGGTCAAGCCATCTGGCTGGTCAGAGGCAGGCGGGAGGGGCAGCTGGAAAGGAAGGACCGATTCCCTTTTGCAGAGGAGGGAGCTGAAGCTCCCAGGCTACAGACTAGCTTCTGTGGTTTCCCCTCTTGATTCTCTTCCTGTCAACATGCCACCACCATCCAACACCTGCACTGTACCAGGAGCTCCCTGGGGACGTGCTCTGTGCAGAAACGCTCGGAAGAATCTCCACCCACCTTGGGCCACTCGGAGAGCCGGGCAAGGGCGGGTGCGTTGTCACAACGTGGAGCGTGGGACAAGGCTTTCCTGTGCAGACAGTGTGCTCGGAGGATGGAGACTTCACCCTGCTCACGACTGTGTCCCTGTGCCCGGTGCAGGGTCTGGCACGTAGTGGGTGCAGCAAGACTTTGCAGACTGAATGGTCACGTGCTTAGTCTCTCAAACCTCAGAGTTGTGAAACTCGTTAGCTGGTTATAAATTACATCTATCGAGTCTCCACTAGCATTAAAAAAGAGTAAGGAGTAGAAAATAGCATTTACTAAGGGTAGGCATTGCTTTGTGCACTGATGTCAAATATACCTTTTACTTTGGGTTGTGAGAAATAAGTGGGGGTGGTTTACAGAGCATCTGGGCACCTCTCAGAGGCCGGCACCCTCCCGTCTCCTCAGGATCCCTCTGCACAAAGGCAAGTCCATAAGGAAGGCCCTGAGGGAGCGTGGGCTGCTGGACGACTTTCTGAGGACACACCAGTATGCCGTCAGCAGCAAGTACAAGGCCGGGAAGGTGGCCAGCGAGCCCCTTTTCAACTACCTGGATGTGAGTGCCTTTGCCAGCCTTCCCGCGATGGTGGTCACAGTGTGCGACGGACACCCCCACCCTTGCCCAAGCCCCACCTCCTTCCCCTCTTTGAAGAATCAGGCAATCCCTTGGGGGGGGGCGGGGCACGGAGGCCGAGTCCTCAGCTCAGCAGTGCTGGGCTCTAAATGCCTCTGGTGGAAGGGGCTGAGCTCAGACAAGCTGCCTGCAGACAACGCCCCTTGAGGTCCATTGTCTGCTCCCAGCTCCAACGGCCTTTCCTGGACCAGGGAGCCACGTCTCACTCTGGGCTCAGCAGGGATGGGGTAGCCGGTGGCCGTCTCACAGCTGCCCAGACTCGGCAGGAAGGCCCCTTGTGCCTGACCCCTTTCTGAGCCTCTCTCACCTGTCACTCTGGGCAGTAGACGACCAGCCCCTTCCCTTCTGTGCTCCTTTCCTCCTGGAAGTCACCCTCATGCACACCCCCGAGCTCTGGTTCTGACACAGGGCAGGAGGTGTGGCAGGGGTCGTGCGGTGGGACTTGGGGTCTGTACCCAGCTGGTGCCCACCTCTCTGTCCCTGCTCCCGACAGGGTCCCTACCAGGCAGGACTTAAATTTTGGTCTAATGTCTGCTTCTGGGGCTGATGCCAGCAGGGCTCATGGGAGGGGCAGGCCAGGCGTGGCTGGGCTGGGTGCCCAGCGTAGGGGCTGGAGACCCCTCCCCAGTGAGCCTCCTGCTTCTTGTCCCTCAGCTTCCCCCGTCTCTGGGCAGAAAGCACAGGGCCTACAGAACTAAGCAGGCTCCATGCCCCTACCCACCCTCACCCTTGCGCTCTCCCCGTGCCCCTGCCCCTGTGCCGTCTGTCCTCAGTGTCAGTACTTTGGGAAGATCACCATCGGGACCCCGCCCCAGGAGTTCACCGTGGTGTTCGACACTGGCTCGTCCGACCTCTGGGTGCCCTCTGTCTACTGCAAGAGTAACGCCTGCCGTGAGTGACCCCCCAGCTCGGACCCGGGCCACTCTGCCCGCAGTGGTCGGGTGGCCAGTGGGCACTGTACTGTGAGGTGTCAGGAGAACTTGCTTTGACAGTCCCAGCCTCCTGGTGCCCCGTCTTCCTGCTCAGCCCTTGCAAATGGCCAGCGACCGGAAGGTGTGCGGGTCTCGAGGCTGACGCACAGGCAGCAGGGGGAGGTGTGCGGGTCTCGAGGCTGACGCACAGGCAGCAGCGGGAGGTGTGCGGGTCTCGAGGCTGACGCACAGGCAGCAGCGGGAGGTGTGCGGGTCTCGAGGCTGACGCACAGGCAGCAGGGGAAGGTGTGCGGGTCTCGAGGCTGACGCACAGGCAGCAGGGGAAGGTGTGCGGGTCTCGAGGCTGACGCACAGGCAGCAGGGGAAGGTGTGCGGGTCTCGAGGCTGACGCACAGGCAGCAGCGGGAAGGTGTGCGGGTCTCGAGGCTGACGCACAGGCAGCAGGGGAAGGTGTGCGGGTCTCGAGGCTGACGCACAGGCAGCAGCGGGAAGGTGTGCGGGTCTCGAGGCTGACGCACAGGCAGCAGCGGGAAGGTGTGCGGGTCTCGAGGCTGACGCACAGGCAGCAGCGGGAGGTGTGCGGGTCTCGAGGCTGACGCACAGGCAGCAGCGGAGAGGAGGGGAACTTGCATTTGTTCTGTCTCTGTCAGGGACCCGAGCCAGCTGCCTACCCTCCTGGGTCCTGTTTTCCTTTCTATCTAGTGATGTTTCTACCACACGCCAGGGGGTGCTGGGCAAATAAGTGAGAAGGCCTCTTACTAATGAGAAAAAGCATTTAATATATGTTATCATTTAAAAAAATATGTTTTTATTGATTTTTTTTAGAGAGACAGGAAGAGAGAGAGTGGTAGAAACATCGATGTGAGAAGGAAAGATTGATCTGCTGCCTCCTGCACGCCCCCTACTGGGGGTCGAGCCCACAACCCGGGCATGTGCCCTGACCGGGAATGGAACCGGGACCTCTCAGTCCCTGGGCGGACGCTCCATCCACTGAGCCAAGCCGGCTGGGCAGTACATGCTATAATTTAGTCCCCAACAATCCTGGGAGGTGTGTGCTCTTTTCACCCCATTTACCAGGTGAGGACACCAAGTTCAGAGAAAGAGACTAGCCTGAGATCACAGAGCTGATAAACGTGAGGCCTGAGAAGCTGCAGGGGTGGCTTTTCTCTCTCTTATTTTTGTTTGGAAGCTACACAGGTAGCACCTGGGTCAGAGAGGTGGTTGAGCAGCAAAGACTACTTTTCTTTATTAGACTCTGTGGGCTCAAGAGAGAGCGGCTGCCTGTTTGCAGGGGAGAGAGTAGTGTTCAGACCCTCTTCTTACAAGTCCTGGTGAGGGTTTCAGTCCTGGCTGGCACTGTTGAGGGAGAAGATTCGATGGCTCCCTCCAACCCTGGGTCTGTATTCCAGAAAACCACCACCGCTTCGACCCGGCCAAGTCCTCCACCTTCCAGGACATGGGCGAGCCTCTGACCATCCAGTACGGCACGGGCAGCATGGAGGGCGTCCTGGGATACGACACCGTCACTGTGAGTGGGGCTCGGGCCGGCTTCCCTCCCCAGCCCGTTTCCGACGCAGACACCAGGCTCTGGCAGGCTGCGGCTGGTGCTGAGGGCCCTGTGGAGCGGCCTGGCTGTCGGGGTAGCTGAGAAGGAGTTTAGCCAGCGGTGTGGGCGGCCCTCCCTCCCCCTCCTTCCACCTGGCCCTCAGAGGCTTCCCCAGATCCTCTCCACCTTCCTGACCTTCTTTCTCGTCCTCACCATGAGCTTCAGAACTCAGAGACTGTGCCGGCACCGGGCTCCTCAGTGCCACACGTGTGACCTCATTTTAAACCCACTGCTTCCGACTGCCCTTTGATAGGTTACTACCCCCTCGTCCGACGAGCGTCTCAGGCCCAGATGAGCTGCTAGCACAGCGGCGCTGTGGGCGCCGGGTCAGACCCATGTGTCCGACTCGGGGCCTGAGTCCTGGAGCGGCATCTCCTCCAGGTCACAGCATCTGTGCCCTCTGGGCCAGGGCCCCCTTTCTCCCCGCTGGCTCCTAAAGTTCCTACTATGGCACCAAGTGATGCCCAGTGCACGCTAGCTCCTCTTTCCTTCCTCACTCACCATCCATGTTGAAAATGGAGCCGCACCCCTGGTACTTATCACCTGACCTTCTGTGGGTTCTTCCTTGGGTCTGGCTGAGGTCTTGTTGGCTGTGAGCCCCAAAGGACACGGCCCTTCTCTGCCTGGTGTCCCGGCGGAGCAGGTGCCACCCAGCAGGGCCTCCGGGAGTCAGCGCTGGACAGCGGAGACCCCAGAGCCACTGGCCGAGTCCCCTGCCCAGGGGTCCTACTTTCTCTACTGCCTGGGACCGTTGCTTTTTCCCTCTGCGTTTTTGGGTTCAGGGGAAAACCCGCATCTCCACTGGGAGCCGGCCCTTGCCGCTGGCCTCCGCGGTGGTGCGACTTGCCGCCCTCAGTGGGCAGCGGGTGGGACGGGAGCCCGGGGCCCAGGCCCTGCTCGGCAGGCTCACGTGGAAGGAGGGTGAGCTGGAGATCGGTGTGGGCGAGCCAGGGGGCCGGAGGACAGAGGAGGGTGAGAAGCAGGACCAGAGCACCAGGACTCTCGGACAGACTCCATCTTGAGAGCTGTCGGGAGCCTCGGGGGCGTGGCAAGGGGTGACATGAGTCAGCATCCATCTCCGAAGATCACTGTGTGGAGGGTGGGCCCTGGGGACAGTGGGCCCTTCAGGGAGGGGGCAGACGACGAGGCCGGTTCAGAGTTCGTGCTCGCCCCGCGGAGCGCCATCACGTGCCCGGACGGAGCCGCGCGGGCCAGTGCTCAGCGTGAGTGTCGTCCGCTCAGCACTGCCTGGGGGGCAGGGTCAGCGCCCGTGAGGCGGAGGACACTGAGGCTGGGAGAGGTATTGTCCCGTCACGCGGTGTGTGAGGTCTTTCGTAAGCACAGGCTGCAGCTGAAAATGCATGTGTTCTTCCTGTCCATCCACAGTGTTCCCGGGAGACGAGATGCCCCGGGTGCAGCCGGGAGGTCTGCAGGCCAGCAGGGGGCCTTGGGACATCCCTTGGCCCACCTTCTTTGGGCTGGTCCCCCAACTGTTTGCACCATGAGCACTGCTATCTGCACCCTCCACCGTGTCCTCTGTCCTTCCTCCCCTACCTGTTGAACCTATTCCCTCAGAACCACAGCACTGAGCTGGGGAAGGAGGGTTTTTCTCTTTCAGGTCACACAGCACCTCTGCCTAGAAAGGGAGGGCTGGCTAGCAGGGGGACCAGGGACCTTGCTGCCTCTGGTCCGAGGGCCCTGGTGGAGCCACTCTGTCTCTCTCGCAGGTCTCCAGCATTGTGGACCACCACCAGACCGTGGGCTTGAGCACCCAGGAGCCTGGGGACGTCTTCACCTACTCCCAGTTCGACGGGATCCTGGGGCTGGCCTACCCTTCTCTTGCCTCTGAGTACTCGGTGCCCGTGTTTGACAACATGATGAACAAGCACCTGGTGGCCCAAGACCTGTTCTCGGTTTACATGAGCAGGTAGGAGCCGGGCCGGACTCCACAGCCTGGCAAGGACTGGTGGCTGGCGGTGGTGTCCACCCCTTGGGGACACTGCAACTCAAGGAGAGTCACCAGCCTCCAGGCACATTCACCCTCTTGCCCGAAGGTCCCCAACATAGTTATGAATGCAGCCAGAGTCCACAGGGCCAAAATTTGACCTTCATTTCTGCCACTTAAAAAAGCAAGCCTGACCCCAACTTTGCATAGGGGCTTTGAACTGTTCCCAAAGTGGCAGGCCACAGTAATCATCTGCTGAGGTCACTGAGATGCCCAGACTTTTAGAGCAGGCTCCAGAGGAATCTTACCTTCTCCTTTCACAATTTGGGCAACAGGCTAGGAGGGACAGTCACCCTGGGAGCCGGTGGCCAAGCCACACCTGCAGCCCGGGGCTTTCGACTCCCCCTAGTGGTCCCTAGTCTCCCCACCTGCCCTGTGACGGCGCAGCTGGGCTGGCCAGAGGGGCGGGGCACAGTGGGGACAAGGCTGATGTCAGGGGAACCCAGGCGGGGTACATGGCTCACTCCTCACCCAGCAGAGGTTTGTGGGCCCTTGCTGTGTGCAGGGGCTGTGCCAGGAGACGGGGAGGGATCAGCAAACAAGACAGGCTGGGAGTTAGCTTCTTGGCAGGGGCAACAGACAACACGCAGTGGCACACACGGTTGTGACGACACGTGTGGGAAGGCACTCACAGTGGGGAAGTGTCCGTGTATGAGAGCTGAGCAATGACAGGAAAACCTGGTCTCAGGGAGGGTGTGAGGAGGGGCCAGGGAGCTTCCCTGTCCCGGTGAGACAGAGGGACAGCCGGTGCTGGAGCCGGGAGGGGGCACGGAGCTGGGTGAGGTCTAGCACAGGGACAGCACAGTAGGGAGCGGGTGACACTAGTGCCCGTGTGTCCAGGCCATGAGGCAGAGCCCAGAAGGAGCGGAGGGGTTTGGGCTGAGGTGGCAGATTTAATCCGTGGGATGTATGACCTTGTTGACAACCTTCTCTCCTAAGCGCAGCTGAGGGGCCAGAGGCCTTGGGTGGTGGGGAGCAGGGGGCACAGGGCGGCAATTGGGGACAACTGAAGGTCTGAGCAGAGCCTGGCAGCCCTGTGACCTGTGTGGCGCTTGCTTCCCGACGTCCCTCACACTGCTCCCATGCTGCCCCGACTGGGGGCTGCCACCCGGTGCCCAGTGCCACAACGTGCCTGTCCTTGGTTTCAGGAACGGCCCGGGGAGCATGCTGACGCTGGGGGCCATCGACACGTCCTACTACACAGGCCCCCTGCACTGGGTGCCCATAACCGTGCAGGAATACTGGCAGTTCACCGTGGACAGGTGGGTGAGCCGCGGCCAGCCAGAGGCTCCTCCAGGTGGGGACCTGAGGGTCCGGTGTCAGCCCCGAGGCTCTGAGAAGGGCTGCAGCACAGCAGCTCATCAGACTGTCACACCAGAGTCTGAATTAGACCTCTGACAGTCACACCTTCAGCTGTGCTTTATCAACAAGACCAGCTGCACTGGTTGAACTGAAAATGCGGGAAGGTCGGGCAACTTGCCTGAGCTGTGCAGCGAGTAAACGGCGGGGCGAGAACTCGGATCTTAGGCCACTCGGGAAGTGCCTTCCACGCGAGGGCACCTGGCTGCTGCTTTCCCGCAGTTTTTGTCCCATTGGAGGTGGTCAGTCTTAATTTAGCTGCCTAGTTGGAAGAAATGGTTTCAGGTATTGGCTCTGAGCTCAGGAAGTTGTGGGGACCCCAAGGAGGGGCCCAAGGGATTGGGAGCCGGCCCTGCCCAGGGGTCCGGGCGGGGAGGCCAGAGGGCAGCCAGAGAGCGGGGGCACTGCAAGGCCATCCTGTCTCCCTCCGCAGCGTCACTGTCGATGGTGTGGTGGTGGCCTGTGACGGCGGCTGTCAGGCCATCCTGGACACGGGCACCTCCATGTTGGTCGGGCCCAGCAGTGACATCCTCAGCATCCAGAAGGCCATTGGAGCCACGCAGAGCCAGTTTGGCATGGTGAGACCAGGCCCCTTCCCCCTCCCCAAGCCCCCCTGAAGAGAGCACCCTTTGCCCATGGGAGAAGTGACAAAGGGAAATGGTAAGGGGCCACAGGTGTTGGGATTCCCCAGGAGGCCTTCACACTGGCCTTCGGACTGCTTCCTGTCCCCCAAGCCTGACCTCTTGTCCTAGGCTGAGGTCTATCTCTGGCCTGGCTGACAGCTGGTCCCCCTCAATGTGACTCTTTAAGGACCATGTCTTGGGACCATGCTTCAGCCTGAGATCCTCCCTAGGTCCTCTGAGAAAGCAGGCCCCTCCCTAGCACTTGGCTTCAGGTACAGAGGGTGGGGTCCCGGCCGGGGACCATCTCTGCTGCTTCCAATCACACCCATCACCACCCCCCTTTTCTCGTTAATCCTCACCTGAAGATATTTTTCCATTGATTTTTAGATAGAGTGGAAGGGGTGGGAGGAGAGAGAAACATCAATGTGAGAGAGACATATTGATCGGTTGCCTCCTACACCACCCTGACTGGGTATGTGCCCTTGACCGGGAATCAAACCCATGACCCTTTGGTCTGAGGGCCGACACTCTAACCACTGAGCCAAACCGGCCAGGGCCACATCGCCCTTTTAAGAGGACTTCCCTCTGCTCTTTTTAAAAAATAACTTTAAATTACTTATTAAAGTATGGTCGACATACAATATTATGTTAGTTTCAGGTGCACAACATAGTGATTTGACATTTATATTCCTTATGAAGTGACCACCACAATAAGTCCAGTAACCATCTGTCATGGTACAGAGTTACTGTGATATTAGTGACTATTTTTTCTATGCTGTACGTGACACCTGGAGACGTACTTATTTTATAACTGGAATTTTATACGCCTTGCACCCCCCCCCCCGCCCCCGGCAGCCATCGATGTGTTCTCTGTGTCTGAGTCTATGTCACTGGTTGGTTTTTCAGTTTGACATCAACTGCGGGAGCCTGAGCAGCATGCCCACCGTGGTCTTCGAGATCCACGGCAAAAAGTACCCACTGCCCCCCTCCGCCTACACCAGCCAGGTATGAGCCTCAGCGGAGGGAGCCCCAGGCTCCCCTAGCTGCCCCCTCCCTCCTGGAAAGTCATCGAAGTTGGTGATCAGTGGAAGGGCCTAGATGGATAATGCAGGACATATATTTAGACCAACTGGCCCTTCGGAACGGGGCCCTGTGGTCCTTGGGCCCCATCTGTGGCTGTTACAGCCCCATCCTGGGAGACATGGCACAGATGGGAAGGGCAGAGCCCTGGGCTTGAGGGAGGGGCAGGCAGGACCACGGCGCCCCGTGGAAGCCTCCACCACTGCTCTAGCTTCTAAGTCCAGGGCCCAGAGCTCTTCCTGGGATTTTCCCAGATAGCCTGGGTTTTGTGGGGACCCAGACCCCCCGAGATCTGCTTTGAGCTAACCCTGAGCACCCAAACTGGCAAGGCTTCGGGGCCCAGGTTGCTCTGGCAGGTGGAAGGTGGGGGCTGGACAGGACAAGTGGGGTGGAGTGGGGTGAGGGGCTACCACCCGTGCCCTTGGATTGCGTCCCTTTATTTTTTGAACATCAATTTCTTCATCTGTTAGTGAGATGGATCTGAGACTGGTTCCTGCCCAGGCAGGCGACTTCAAGGGTGAAAGGAAACAATAGAGGAGCGTGGGGGGGGGTCCTGCCTGTAGGCACCCCGCTGGGGTGGGACCAGCTACATCTCTGCTGTATTTCAGGACTCGGACTTCTGCACCAGCGGCTTCCAGGGCGACGACAGCTCTGAGCAGTGGATCCTGGGGGACGTCTTCATCCGGGAGTACTTCAGCGTCTTCGACAGGGCCAACAACCGCGTGGGGCTGGCCAAGGCCATCTGATGGCGCCGCTGACCGTGGACCTTGCTGCCCCAAACACATGCATGCACACAAGTTGGGTTTTTGGGCAGATGGTTCTCAATAAATACCTTGTCTCTGCAAAGCCTGGCTTTCCTTGGGGCTGACGCCCTGTACTGTCATGAGGTGTGACTGTCACAAGGTGCGACTGTCACGGGGTGTGACTGTCATGGGGTATGGCTGTCATGGGTGTGACTATCATGGGGTGTGACTGTCATGATGTGTGACTGTCACGGGGTACGGCTGTCACCGGGTGCAGCTGTCACCGGGTGTGACTGTCATGGGGTGTGACTGTCATGGGGTGTGACTGTCATGGGGTATGTCTGGCAGAGCTGGGGCTACATGGGTGGGGAGGGTTGGGGATACTGGTGATGGGTGAGACTCTCACAGGGAACTCGCCATTGTAAGCTCAGGTCAGGTAGAATCTTGCCTCCCTGTTCTACTCTGGATCTTTCTGGGCAAAGGGCACAGCAGGGAGACTGTTGCAGGGGAGCAAGGGCCTGAGATGTGGGGCAGAGTAGAGAACGTTGGACAGAGAAGGACTCTGGGTCTGTTAGGGGAAGGGCCTCGCTGCCTCTAGGAGAAGACAGTTAGGGAAAGAGGCCGAGGGCATCTGGGAAGGCCTGTGGGTCCTGAGGTGGCCCTGACCTTGGGCAGAACCATAGCTGAGTTCCATCCTCAGTGCTGCTCCAAACCTGACTCACCAGTGCCCAGACAGAGGATCCCTTGCTCCATGGGACAGGCTAGTCTTTCCCAACAGGGGACAGTGCAATTGACCAGGCTTCTGTGACTACTGAGTCCTACCCCACCTTATCCTGACCACACGGCCCTGCTAACAACTGAGGGGCAGGAGGGGCATGCAGCAGTCTACTCCCCTTATGAAGAGGAGTGTGTGTGTGTGTGTGTCTCCCAGCAGGAGCTGCAGGTGGGGCCCAGGTGACAGGCCCTCTGGGGGCATCTTGTGAGGTCTTTCTCAGGCACACCAAGGACAAACAAGAGGAGGGACCTCAGGCAGTGGAGATGCTCTCTGAAGTGCCAGTGCTGGTCACAGAGGCATGAGGACCTCTGGCAGGGAGGGAGCAGGGCTGGGGGTGGGATGTGGAGGAGGGAGGCTCAGGAGGTGGACCCAGGTGAGCTGAGGAGCCTGGGGAGGCTTAGAGCGGAGGGTGCAGGAGGACGGTGCAGGAGGAGGGTGCAGGGGGACGGTGCAGGGGGACAGTGCAGGGGGAGGCTGCAGGAGGAGGGTGCAGGAGGAGGGTGCAGGGGGACGGTGCAGGAGGAGGGTGCAGGGGGAGGGTGCAGGGGGACAGTGCAGGGGGAGGCTGCAGGAGGAGGGTGCAGGGGGATGGTGCAGGAGGACGGTGCAGGAGGAGGGTGCAGGGGGAGGGTGCAAGAGGACGGTGCAGGAGGAGGGTGCAGGGGGAGGGTGCAAGAGGACGGTGCAGGAGGAGGGTGCAGGGGGACGGTGCAGGAGGATGGTGCAGGAGGAGGGTGCAGGGGGACAGTGCAGGGGGAGTCTGCAGGACGAGGCTGTAGGAGGAGGGTGCAGGGGGAGGGTGCAGGGGGAGGGTGCAGGAGGAGGGTGCAGGGGGACGGTGCAGGGGGAGGGTGCAGGGGGACGGTGCAGGGGGAGGGTGCAGGAGGAGGGTGCAGGAGGAGGGTGCAGGGGGACTGTGCAGGGGGAGGCTGCGGGAGGAGGGTGTGGGAGGAGAGTGCAGGAGGAGGGTGTGGGTGGAGGGTGCGGGTGGAGGGTGCAGGGGGAGGGTGCAGGAGGAGGGTGTGGGAGGAGAGTGCGGGAGGAGGGTGTGGGTGGAGGGTGTGGGTGAAGGGTGCAGGCGGAGGGTGCAGGGGGAGGGTGCAGGGGGAGGCTGCAGGAGGAGGGTGGGGGAGGAGGGTGTGGGAGGAGGGTGCAGGGGGAGGGTGCAGGGGGACCGTGCAGGGGGACTGTGCAGGAGGAGGGTGGGGGAGGAGGGTGTGGGAGGAGGGTGCAGGGGGAGGGTGCAGGGGGACGGTGCAGGGGGACAGTGCAGGAGGGGGCTGCGGGAGGTGGGTGCGGGAGGAGGGTGCGGGTGGAGGGTGTGGGTGGAGGGTGCGGGTGGAGGGTGCAGGCGGAGGGTGCAGGAGGAGGGTGCAGGAGGAGGATGCAGGAGGAGGGTGCAGGACTCTGCCAGGTGTCTGAGCCTTTCAGGATCAGGGAGGAGGGCGTGGTCCCAGGAATAAGTCCTGGTGTTCAGCTACTCCCCTAAGCCTCAGTTTTCTTATCTAAGACAATCCTGTCTGTCTGCCAACAATGAGATAGAACCGGGCCACTTTCATTATTTTTAAGTTTTTTGTAGATTTGAAAAAAGTGCCAAACAAGCTCACGAAACTTGTGTTATATTTCAATCATTTGTGCTTAACAAATTGTGTTTTGAACACCCCAAGCTCGATCGGAGATGATATAAAAAGTCTAAATATGATGACATTCATAAATCAGAAACTTGGACCACATGGCCCCCGCCACACCCGGGTCCACCCCCGCCTACCAGCCACCCCTGTCCTGAGAGGCAGCGCCCCAGGGGCCAATGGGATGTGGGCAGCCCCACGTGCTCCTGGGCTTTCTCCTGTCGCCGAGAAGGCGTTGCCTGTGCTGTTCTCCACACCAGACCCCCGGACTTCTCATTGTTTGCAAACCTCCCCTCAGTCTGAATCTCTTAGGGTGCTGCTGAGCAGGCTGGGTCGGTGCCCTTCTGTGTGCCCCACCCCCAGCATGTGCGTAGTGTTCACACACTTGGTTTCTGCCTGTCTCCCTCATGGACGCTGTGCTCCTCTCATCTTGATGTGCTGGGCGCCGGACTCATGGAATGCCCTGCCTCTAGTGTTGTCGGAGGGACGAGTGGATGAAGGAATGAATGAGTCACTCGGTGAGGGCCTCAGTCACCCTGCTTGTCCCTCTGTGGCCTCCCAGCCCTGCCTCACCCTCCCATTCCCGAGCCAGGAATGCTCCCAGGCCTTTGCTGTCCCTGGGGATGCTCCGTGTGCTTTGGGAGGACACTGAAGTGAGAGAAGGTGGCCGAGCTGCCTCCAGGGTTTTGAGGTTCTGCCAAGGGGCCCATATTTGGCTCTCCACCAGGCCCAGATGTCTGCGGGGTCTGCAAGGGGATGAAGGGGCCTTGGGAGGACGAGTCAGCACACGCGATGGAGGTCAGTGGGGAGCTAGGAGGGGCCCCTGCAGGGCGGGGCTGACTCACTGCCCTGCTTCCCAGTCGAGTAGGGAGAGGGCAGCTCAGGAAGCCTTGTGATCAGTTATCCACCTCCCACCCCCGTGAATTGGCTGCCATGTAGCTGCTGCCACAGCCGCACCCAGCACCCTGCAGGACTGGCCGGGGGCCTGGCTCATGCCCTTTCCTTTGCCCGATGCGCCTTTGTACTCTGTGGCCTGAGAACAGCTCCTCGCACTTCATGGCCAGCTCATGTGTCCTCCGAGGTGACCCCCACCCCCTCGACGCTCATCTTCCCACTTCCTAATTTTAGCATGTGCCCTGCTGTAGTTACTTACAGGTTGGTCTCTGCCCCAGTGCCTGATGGACAGCACCCGAGTCTCTCCTCTGAATTCTCAGCACCCAGGAGAGCTCCTGGCACACGGAGGACACGCAAGTGGCCCAGGGAGAGCTGATGCCTTGTGATATGAGCAGGCATGTCTCTGCTCGACTGGCGTGAGTCATGAGAGCCGAGAGACACCGGTTCACACAGACACGAGTACACACTGACACACAGACACGCGCACACCTCACAACACTTGCACATACACAGACACATAGCATACAACATACACATGCAGAGACACACACACAACATGCACAGACACAGAGACACACAACACACAACACATGCAGGCACACAGACACAGAGGCACACACACCCCACCACACACAAATACAGACACACACAACATGTAACACACACATGCACACGTAAACACGCAGATACACAAACACACACAGATACACATACACAGACACAGAAACACACATAGACAGACACACACATATGGTGTCTGTGTCCCCTCCACTCCCCTGCACCTGCCTGGCCCGGTGCCCAGCCCCCCCCACCTGGCCCGGTGCCCAGCCCCTCCCTGCCCCTGCCTAGAGCGGCAGAGCCCTCAGGTCTAGAGCCCCGAGGGCCCCACTCCCACTTCCTCTCCCTTCCTTGTCACTCATTTTTCCTGCCAGTGCTTCTCATGCTAATAAGAGGAAGCATTGGGCCAAAGAGAAGCTTTGCAAGGAAGTCTTTGAAATGGAAATATTATGACAAAATGATGGATTGTTTTCTGAGCTGTGCAGTTTGTTTCTTGCTCGCAGGGGAATAGAGCTGAGACAGGTTGCCCTGTCAGAAAGCCCCGGGCAGCTGAGGATGCAGGGGACATGGGGGAGGGGAAGCCCAGGACCGGCAGAGGGACAAGCCTGGATACTGACCAGTAGTCCTGGTCACGGCTGGGGGCCCTGAATGGCCAGGGCATGCAGCAACTTTCTGCTGAGGGACATCTGGTCTGTGCCGGCACCACCACACCCAGCGCCCTGCAGGCCGGGCCTCTGCACATCTGCTCACGCTGTTCCTTCTCCCGAGGCCCCTCCCACTTTCTCTAACCTGGCAGCTGAAAGGTCACCTTGTGCTGGCAAGTTTGTAACCGCATAACTGATGATTCGTAAATTATTGTGCTGCTCCATAATTGATGGTTGGGAAAGTCACTGTGTGCCCTCTAGCTGAACCTGTTTAGTCAAAATAACCTCAGTAAATTGGAAGACCCCCTGAACCAAGAAATTGTTGGGAGCTGGCTACGTGTCTGACAGAGTCCACGGAGCCTGGAGGTCTTGAGTCAGAGACTTGACCTTCCCCCGAATCTCAAGGAGTCAGGCTTGCGTTGTGTTTGTGCAGCCTGGGGCTAGGTGTGACCCAATGTACCTCGAAATACCTGGGTGTTCCTGGGTGCTCCTGTTATCCACAAG